GCAGCCTTGTACAGTCTGAACAAGAAATAATTACACAGGCGAGATTTCCTTAATCAGTAAAGGTCAAAGGAAGAAGAGGATTCATAGATCACTTTGATCGTTAGACCTCAAGCGACGACGGCTTCTCGCCATATATGCGTCAAGCCCTTGTCGATCTAATCCTTGGCAGTCTATAAACGGTTTTCCATCCTTGGCCTTGCAACACTCGTCGGCAATATCCGCCATAAGCCTGGCACTCCCACTGAATAAGTATACCACTGATTTGCAAAAAGTTCTGAAACAAGCAAGACAGGCGCAGTTCCTCTAAAACTAGAACAAGATGTCTCCTTTCGCTGCTGATTTCTTGCACAAATATCTCGAACACTTGAAAATTTCTCAACTGTTTGGTTCTTGTAATAAAGTCCGCAAGAAACTGGTATCCTTATCTGTATTCTTCTGGAAGAAATCATTCAAAGTTCTCGTTTTGTAGCTGGGCTTCTTTCTGTTTATGATTATTCAAGCTACGTCAAAAGCGACTTGTGGTTTGAAAGTTGTCATATTGGAAGGCCTGACCATCATTGGGGCCAACACCTTTGTTGGAAATTTCATTTTCTTTCCCATTTTCTAAACGTATTTACTTCACAAGGTTGGCGAGTTATGGACAAAACTTTGGCGAACCCTTACTTGTGCTAGCCTGGCACCGGCTCTTAGCCATACACTTCCGAAACCCGCTTGCCCTCGCCTTCTTAATGTCTCATATTGCCATAGTTTATCAGGGCTCAAACGAACAACGTGATGAGCCGGTCGGGGTCGAGTCCCGCTCAAGGCCAAAGTTTTGTTAATAACTCGCCAACTTTGTGATACCCGATCCTTTGCTTTTTTTCATTTTTCCACCTGCTTGAAATAACTGTTTAGATAGCTGTAGCGACAACCTCTCATATGTTGATGTTCTTCTCGTTTGCTGGCAAGTGCCTAAATACCATATCTCTTGGAGAGCCGATCAAAGGCCTCGAACTATTTCAATATGCACCAAAACAATTTGAAGGGGTACTGGTCTTATTGGAGAGCCAGGTGAGGCTACAAATTTGGATTTGAGTACTCAATAATATTTAGTCCTTTCTAGCTGTAAGTCGATTTTAAGGTAAATACCAAAGGAAGTTAGTTCAGATCCGCTTGTATACGCACCTTCATCTATTGGACATTATGAAGTTGGACAGACCGTTGTCTTGGATGAAGTTCGGACCATTTGGAAGAGAAGAAGGAGCCCTTATTATCGGTACAAAAGGTAAGAAATCACTAAACTTTTTGGATATGCCCCGGGGCACGATTTTCTTCCCGAATGGATTAGCAAAGATCAGCGAAGACCCGTAGATAATGGACACTCACAGTTTCTGAGAGGTTTTGATCGTTTGATCGTTATTACATCGTCTTCTTGGCTCTGCCAGGGCCTCAGGTCTTGTACTATGTAATGGGAAGTGACTTTATCCAGTCGTGCTCTTTATTGTCATCAGTTGGATCGCTTGGCTAATGCTTACGCTCGCTTTCAACCCACTAAAGGTTCATTAATTCGTGGTGGAGCGGCCATCAAAGAATTTAATTAGCTGAGGAACCTCCTCGAGAACGCATGGCGCATCCTTGAGCACTGATCGATAATAGTTTCACAACTTTTATTTCAGATGGCGGTCTTCTGGTGAAACTGTTTCGGCGGAAAGCTTCACTTGACGAGAAAATCGATCTTAATCCACAAACAAAAGCCTATAATATCAAGTTGAATATACCGAAAAAGACTAAGATATTCATCGATCAAACAGTTCGGGAACGAGAAAATGTCAATCAAATCAATCAGGTACGTCAAGGGTTTCCCCCTCCAGAATCTCTTGCTTTTTCATACATGTTATAGACTTACCAACGGGATTTGTTTCTTATCAAACATCACACGACGGTAGCATTTGCTGCTCTTGCACAGACGTCAGCCACGTCCATATCTACCGATCCGAATCATTCAGTTGACATCGCCGTAACCGTTAATGGATTCGGACCCAAATTCAGGATCACCATCAAACTAAGTTGTGCCACGTAAGTTGTACCATGAGCTTTGTAGCCCGACAAATGTCTTGCATTCAGCAGTGCCTCCATGAGTTCCCCTCGTTCTCGGTATAAGTCCTCCTACAGTAAGATACCAGCTTCCGAGAAGACCAGAGCCGAACCTGTGTTGAGACGATTAGGCTTCAAGGGCACAGTTCACAGTAGTCGTAACGCTTCATTGTGAATAGTGCACCCTAAGGTGGCATAACACGGCCACATTGGGGTGTGTCTGTCAGCCAAGCCGGTCTTGGAGGCTTTATAAGTTTTTCGACTTGACACTCTCCTAGGTGCTATCCTTGAATCACAGGATCATTCTAAGGGGAACAGTCAGAGGTCATTTTCATCGTGAACTCTACCCTCGAATAGAAACTATTCAGCATCCCAAAATGGCTATATCCGAAGGGACTTTTTTCTTTCGAGTTGTGAAAATTCAAACATTCCATTACAGTAAAACTCCTCTGTACAATCTATGGCTATCTATGATTTATACACCAAGCATTTATCGCTTCGACCAAACTCTGATACCAGTATCTATCTTGATGCCCGGACATTTTTACACATTCACGACTCTCGTCGAATGTCTTGAGCCAGAGAAGGTTGGTAGGAATAACTGTATGACTCTTTGCTATTTATGGAACATCTAGAGACAATTTCAGGGGCTCACAGAAGACATTCGAGTACTGCTCATCAAAGAAGATAAGCCTACACCTATTGTTACGGCTATAGTTACAATGCCAGCCAGTGAAATGAGCTTACTGAATTGATCTCATTCTTTTATGTAAATAAATCTTAGGCTAGTCTAAATGTAGGAAGTTTTGTTGGTTATAGGAACCATGTCGTAAGTCCCTTGATGATCGTATTACCACTGTCAAGTTGACCTCTTAGGTACGCGAGCCTCTACTAATACATATAGCCTCAGAGATATTAGGAGAGTAAGGTAAGCTGTCAGATAATCCTCCATTTGAACACCAAGAATTCCAGTGAATCGCATGTAGATTGCTGTCTGATAAAGTATGGTAAAGTCTTTGGGGGTTGATTAATTCCGTTTGAGGGGTTCGCCTGCATTCAATTTCCATTCAGAATCGTAGTGGCCTTTGAATGCGTATGTTGCCTATAGAATGACTTGCGGTGGCCAGTCGATGTGCAAGGTAGTGCTTTTGTCCTCACAGACGAGTCTGGTTCTAACCAAGCGAGCCTGGAGGTATTGAAGGCTTAGTTGGCTTAGGCAGATATCGATGGGATTTGATTCCGTGAGCATACGTGGGTGATACTGCTCCACTTGGCACCATACCATCTCCGTCCACCCGATTACGTGCGTAGTATAAATCAGTGATGCGTCGAGCGCTAGTGCCATGTGTTTCCTTCTTAGGTCCCCCATGAGAAATCTGTCATTTTGAATAACTTCCACGAAAAATTTCTCGTCTCATATCATTTCCAAGATACTTTTTTGACCAAACTCTACCTTCCAAACTTTCTTCTTTGATAACGCTATCATATTAGCATTTGTGACGCCACAATTTGAGACGTTGTTAATGCTGTAAAAGTTGCAGTGTTGGTTTTCAGAACTGGTTTTGAAAAGTGAAACTTTTAATGTACTCTCTACAGAAAACGGCCTTCGTCAAATTTACGGACTCTGGAATGAACTGAAATGTCAGACGCCGTAATTTTGGTTTTTCAGGTTGAGGGCGCATCAGGAATGCCATTCAGCTCGAACTTACGTCAAAGCGATCGGCTGCACGAAAAAGTTTTGACATTTCAAACAGCAAATTTGTTGGCGTAGGATTTAGGTGCTGGTGCTGACCTAATCTGAATTAGTCGCTAACCGTTTTCAAACACCTTCCTATGATGGAAGCTCAATTAATGAAAATTGGTAAGTAATATGTAGTAATGGGTTGTGCGGAGAGCATCTACCCGGAATCGTTCGGTTCACACCCTCAAAAAGGGAATTTTTCAGTTGTCGACCCAGTAAGGTGCTGGCGATTCTTCACATGATTACAGAAAGACTTTAAGAACTGTTTGCTCCGCTATTTATCGACATGTTATAATGTCAGAATATCTTTCTGCACTTTCGCTATGGATATTTGCCAATGTAATAAGCAAGTTTCATTGACTTGTGTGCGCATGAAAATTCAGAAGATATCATCAGATCGCAATGGACAGACCGGATCGAGGTTCATCTTCCACCTTTCTGTTTGAGAGTGTGAAAAACTAGAATGAGGTGCACAGAACCTCACATTTAGAAGGCTCACGCAGATTTCAATGGTCTCGGGGAGCTGGCCTCATCCGAACTTGTAAGGAAGAATGGGCCCGATATGGGTAGAGAGCCGATAATACTGCTATAATTAAGCAATAAGAGGTACCCGAAATGTTAGGCGTGTAAGGGTCAGTAGGCCTTACATAGAAAGCCCCTGAAAGCTTTCGAGAATTCCTGGGTTCTCTAGATTTTAATAATAGGGACCGATGACAAATTCATAGTTGGCTTCAGGAAGAATGACTAGTGATCTGTATGACTCAATGTTAGGCTTGCTTCTATATAACTATCACCAGGGTGCGGAAGTTGGTGGCCCTGTGACAATATTCTACATTCATAGGGAACTGTAGGTATCGGAGAGCGGAGGTTGACTGGTTCCAAGTGGAGCGCTATCACATGCTCCCAGAAAATCTCAGAAAAACGAGATTCGTTCATGTCTGCCTTAACTTTACAGTCGACAGTGTTCGGTATCATCAATAGGGAACTGTTGAGATGAATTGTTGACTTCTTCATCATGACAGGTCCCACTTCTCGGTTACTTGTTCGCCTGCTCTCTCCCTTGTTACAATTCCACCAGCACCGTCTCCACTCTTGATTTTCAATAGCTCTACCTATCTAGTGGATACATAGTTTCTAAAATCATAAGTTGTGGGGAATTCTGCTTGTTCTCTGTTCGTAGATAGAGCATAGCACTCAATTATCTCTTATGAGTGTTCTACCCTCATCTGCTCTCATATGAAGACCTGAAATATAAAACCAGCGACGTAATAGGAATTATAGTAATAGCACTCTTCAACGACCCATTTTTCTACTTCGACGTACTTAATGTTGACGTTTGTGCGCCCCACGAATCACTTATTACCTGTTCACTTATTACCTGTTTATGGGGCCCTTCAGATAAGACCCTTCTTGAAAAAATGTTCCCGGGTTAGCAAGGGAGAATTACCTACCCAAAACAGGATGAAACAGAGTTTCCGGAATCTGGAAGTATTTGACTCGGATCCTCTTTACCTCCTCTACGAATAGCATAAAATACTTTTCTGGAATATTATAAGAAAATTCATATCCTGTGGTGTGTTCCACACGATAAGGAAATGGGCAAAGGCTGTTTCACAGTAAAAATAACAATAACAAGCATGATCTAGGTATTGCACCCGAGATCCAGACTTGCCCAAGCCCAGTTAATTGGTACCAGTTTCGTCTAGGAGGATAAAATAATTGACTTGTGCACCTGCTGGCCGTCGCTAGTCATTGTATGGAGAAGATATCATTCAAGAGCCACTACGATTCTGAATGGAAGTCGAATACGGGGCGTATTCCAACGACAGTACTGTATACTTGTAAAGGCCTCATCCTTCATTCTTTACGACGAAAAAAAGTAAAAACAATGTATAACAATTAGAATTGTGCTCCAACTCGCTTTACGATTATAGGCCAATCATAACTGCAGTGTCCTTACAAGCAAGGGGAAGTGGAGTCTGGATAGGGTAGAGAATAAAGAGCACAGCGTCTAAGAAGAGCAATTCGGGTTCGAATCCCGTCTGAAGCCGAAGTTTTGCCCACAAATTGCCAACCTTGTGAGAGTGAACGTATTGTCGCAGATGCGGAGCGAGTTACTTCCTTGCTTCCTACGAAGGGTTACCATGACTGGTACCTACAGACACATAGCGGGCAATCTCATAAAGAGCCCCGTCGTTTGTGAAGAAAAAAATAATTTTCAACCATTTCCTGTTGCCTACGATACTAAAAGGGAAATGAGCACATCCGTTATGAATTACAGCTATTTTTCACGTATCAACGGTGTCCATTGTTTTTGTAGGCCTTCTGTTGAAGAGCTGACCTTTGCAATTCGTTTTCTGGCACCATTCAAGGCCACATTCCCCCTCGCTCTGCTACAGTCAACTATAAAAGGCTAAACAAGTTCCGTTACAGCAGAACCACACTACGACAATTGAGAGCTCCCTTCGAGAATCGCTGAGGGCATGATTGTCGTAGGAATTGCTTCTACGTCAGCTCTGATCGCTACGGTCGCATGTCTTATATCAATGGTTTTCATTATAAACGACATCGATGACCTACGGAATGAAGTGCTCAACACGATGGATGAGTTCAAAGTGAGTCGCTTGAGTTGTCATGATACTATAAAGTAATTTCCATTCCAGGTGGTGGCCGATAACACTTGGAACAACATCATCGCCTTACACCCACATACCCCAAAAGAAAGCAGAAGGCCTGCAACTTTTGCTACGCTGATCGGGCGCCATAAACGAAATTCCTTTGACGAGTGCAACTGCGCACCGAAATCGGATGGATGCCCTCCTGGACCTCCGGGACCACCTGGACCACCGGGAAAGCCAGGATTTGACGGTGAGAATGGTAGCGATGGTCGCCCTGGCGTAAAGGTAAGTATTTTCAACGAAATCGAAGATAGGGAATGACGGATTTGTCGTAAGAAAGGCCCTATTTAGGGAGTCGCCATAGCCGTTACCCATGATATCCCTGGTGGGTGTACCGTATGTCCACGTGGACCACCAGGACTACCGGGTAGCCGAGGAAATGCAGGACCCCCTGGTCGAGATGGTGAACCTGGCTGTCCAGGACCACAAGGAGAAATAGGAAAACCGGGCCCACCAGGCCCTCCTGGTGAAAAAGGATTCAGCGGAGTACCAGGTTTTCCTGGAAAAGATGGCTTCCCTGGTTCACCGGGTTGCCGTGGTGCGCCTGGACGACCTGGACCACGAGGAGAAAAAGGTCCACCAGGTTTTCCCGGAAAGGATGGCGAAATTGGTGAACCTGGTCCAAGAGGAGAAATGGGACCTGTGGGACCTAGAGGACATCGCGGCAAACCAGGACCGAAAGGACCACAAGGACCTCCTGGACCGGTGAGCTCTTTTTTCATTGGATAAACTGGATTACCTTGACTACTTCTAACTCCTTCTTTTTAGCCAGCTCTTCCTGGTTTTCCTGGACACGACAAGGAGTACTGTCCATGTCCGCCACGGCGCCGCAAAGCAGCATAAAGTCGGTAGAGGATGTGTAGAGAAGAAAATCAACGGTAGCTGCTGTTTGATGGAGCAATCTGATTTTCAACTTTTTTGATAATGATGGTGATTGATCTCGCCATAGTGTGCCTGAGTGCAGTGTGAATATTCGTAATCATCAATACCTTTCGGTATTGAAGTAGTTATTGTTCAGTAAAGTGACTGTAACTAGGCGTATACGTGAAACAAATTTACTTATCGTAAGTGGGAAAAATTTCTACAATTGAAAAAGGAAGCGATAAATTTCTAATGATCATTTTGTCCGGCTAAATGCAACTCCTTCCTGATTGTTCTTTTTTCATGATTGAAAGATTCTTGTACCGTGCAGAGAGACTGTTTATTTATTTATTTATTTATTTATTTATTTATTTATTTATTTATTTATTTATTTATTTATTTATTTATNTTATTTATTAGAACATGTACCTTACGTACATGAATTAAAAATATAAAATGAAACGAACTTGATAAAAATCTTGAAACCGGTCTGATAAAAACCATGAGGAATGATAGAGATCTAATAACGAACATAACGAACAGCCAACAAAAAGGACAAATAAAAGTAAATAGTAATTGTTAAGAGGAAATAAGAGAACTAAAAGAACTAAGTGGCTAAGATGTGACCAACCTCCAAAGTGAAGTAGAGCATGCTGTCTGAAAACAACCCGCTAACCATAGAACTTATTAATGTTATTTTTCAATTCTACGATGCTTCTAGCACGGCAAACTTTTTAATTAACTTATTGTATTCCAAAGAAGCCCTTGCCGAGAAAAATTTCTCTGAACTGCAGTATTATTTTTAGGAAGGAAAAGTTCAAACTGTTTCTTTTTCCTTTCGTGTTTGGTAACAGACAAACCCCCCAGATGTCAGGCGTCTGCAGTGAACAGGAGCGGTCCCTACCTGTTGCTGATAAGGAGCAATCGCAAAGTAGCCAATCTCTACTCCTCTTGGCTCTATCACCTATTAAATGCTGACAATCCAAATATTTGAACGATTAAATGATTAGGTAACTATATTCGTTTATTTACTAGGCCGACTCGGTTTTGAAGGTGGTGTAGTGCTAAGTGAAAAACGCTATAACCCCATTACCCCCCATTGGTTCCAACCGCGGATCGGTAACTCCCCCTTCCGTACCCACGGGGTCGTCTGATTGATACCAGATTCGTCTGGGAGGACATAAGCACTGCCTTGGTACATCGCTGGCAACTGCATGTCATTGTTAGCCCACATACTTATTCCGAACGTCATTACCATCCTGAATCGAAGTCGAATCCAGGATCCGCCACTTGGGAAGCGAACTACATACTTCCGTTGGGAGTGGTCTTTGCCTTTGCGCATACATTCCTCTCATGGGACTGTTATCTGGTATTTTACATCCAAAACTCTTCCTTCTCGAAAAAATCTGCGATGATGCTGAGTTGAGAGTTCAACGGGATGTGACACTACCTTACAAAAAGGTTCCAGCGCCGTCTTCGTCAGTGACACCAGCAAAGAAAAAAAAAGAAATGAAAGTGTAATTCGATAGCGGACAAATGTTTTATCTTTTCTGAATTGATAAGGCTCTTGAAAATGTGGAACATGAGAAAGTACTCTCCGATTTTAACTAACTTCGTGAAAGGATTGGTCCAAAGCTGAACGTAACAAATTCAACGTCTGTAGACGTAGAGCTTCTCGCTGACTGTGCTGATATTGAATTGACTTTTTAAAGCTGAGTCACTATAATTTCGATGAAAAACAGTGCATCATTGGTGAGGAGAGCGAGGAAGTAGGGATAAAACGTTTCAATAGCAACGAAAAGTGAGAGAGATGGCCATGATGGACATATTAGGTTGATGCATAAGTTGTTCGCCGTGCTGATCGTTCCGTATTTCGTTCGCCAGGAAGTTGATACTATTTCGCCATCAAGTGTGTGGAATGTGCATAATACTATTTCATCATCCTGCCATCACTCACCCACCCTGTGTGCGGGTGGTTCAGTGGATATTTTTAGGGGCTGCGGTGATAACGGAGTAAATATAACACAATAATAATGTGAGTGCGGTCGTTCCCGCTATAACAGTACACAATAATGGTAGCCATACTTTATGAGGCAGGCAACTTACGTCTTGCTTCGACGACTTAAGGAAGAGGAGTGTAGACCCATTATCTTGGGTCCGCTTGACCCCGCACCATTTAGAGGCGAGGGTTCAGCTAGGGATTCGACTCAGACAGTGAGACGACATGTACTAGTTATGGGGATCGTCGCCATAGACGACGATACCCTGCATATGCGGACGACAATGCCACACAATTTTCATAAGTTGGACAGAGAGGATGAGGTCAAAAAGGCACTCGACGACTTCTTCGACAGCTCCGTCCTTCGAAGAGGGTCTGCCTGACCGTAGGCGTCGAGCAGTGGATGATGATAGTGCATACCTCTAATCTTCAGGTTGGTTCGCTATTGAGATATTTACAGGAAACTCGGGGAAACTCGGAGAGGGTTAATTGACAAGCTGCCTGACCGTAGGCGTCGAGCAGTGGATGATGATAGTGCATACCTCTAATCTTCAGGT